TCTTTTAAATTAAATTTTTTCATTTTAATTTTTTTATTTATTCATTTAAATAAATTTTTTCTTTTTTTTTTTTTATTAATTTTTTTATGAGCTCATTGTAACAACATTGTTTCTCACATGATTTTCATTCTGTTCTGACGACGGCAGCTCCAAAAAATAAATAAACAACATAAATAACTCATTAACAACAATTTCAAAAATAATTAAAAACAATTAACATTATCACCACAATTATGCGTTTTAAACAAGATGTAGATTAGGACAAAACTAAAACGAGTCTCTGACTGACCCGTCCAGTCTCGCCCTCTTCGTCTCTCCTGAACCTCCGTCAGGTCCTGGGTCTCCATGCGCATCTCCTCTCTCTTCTTCTGTGGTGCTGGAGCTGCAGAACTGCCGACCGTCAGTTCCTGTCACTGAGCCCGACCACTTCCTGCCCGCCACCTGACAAAAAAGAGAGAAAAAAAAAGGTGAAACATATGGTTGACAGCAGAGGGGCAGCAGCAGGATGGGGGGTGTCTCTAGTTCATCTACCTGGTGAGGTGAGGGCTGTCTCCTCTGTACGGGGACAACTGGGAATCGAACCTGCGCCACACTGTGACCTGCTGCAGGTAGGACACACCTGCAGGGAGAGCAGAGCCGAGCACTGAGGACCAGACTGGACCAGGTCTAGTGAGGTCCAGTTGATCTGGTCCAGTTCAGGTCCAGGTACAGAGAGTTTACTGTAGACCTGGTCTGATGTGGTCTGGATCGAAGAAACAAAGTCTGTTTACACTGTTTTGTGAATAAAATCACCAGTAACTAACCACAATAATAACCAGTAACTAACCACAATAATAACCGGTAACTAGACAAAATAATAACCAGTAACCAACCACGATAATAACCGGTAACTAGACACAATAATAACCAGTAACCAACCACGACAATAACAAGTAACTAACCAGAATAGCAACCGGTAACTAGACACAATAATAACAAGTAACTAACCACAATAATAACAAGTAACTAACCACAATAATAACCAGTAACTAACCACAATAATAACCAGTAACTAACCACGATAATAACAAGTAACTAACCAAAATAGTAACCGGTAACTAGACACAATAATAACCAGTTCTTCTCACCTGTCAGCCCTCCGCTGCTGTTTGACCATGATGAAGGCTGGTACCCGTTGACCTTTGACTTCTGTGCACCAACACAGACCCTAAAGAGGGTGAAAAAATGTGCTTGATCATTTCCTCTGTGATAGTGACGTAAAAGTCATAAAAGTAAAAGTAATAAATTATTCCTTTAGTTTGAACAAACAGTCGTCCTAATCCAGACTTTAATAACAGTTACTGTTACAAACATACAACCTAAAAACCCGCCACTTCCTTTATAAACGCGTGTAGAGAACTCCGTTAAGATATAACGAGATTTTAGTGCAGTCATCTGATTGGTTCTTTGCTGAGGCTCAGACATGACTTTCTCCTCTTTCGTGAATTAAACCCCACAAAACTGTTTCACGCTGTTTGACACCTAAGCCGAATTTAATACTGGTACTTGTAGACTCCTAAAATTATTTAGTTTGTGTTACATAAAGAGGTTTTCTGTGTTGATACTCAAACAAACTTTAAATGCGCAGATTTTTAATACAGATCTCGCATGTCCCGTGTTTAGGTAACGTTAGCAGGACAAAGCGGCTCGTCTTCTCTCTCCCGGCTCTTCGGCAGATACTACAGACAGAGCTGCTGTTGGAGTAACGATATAAAACTGAACTTACTTACAGTTTAATTTAGCTCATCTTACCGCTCAGCAGAAGCTAAAGCTAACTCGGCTACATGTAAACACTCACTGATCTCGCTGTTTGTCTCTCAGCTGCTCCATCGCCCCCTGCCGGCCGGGAGGAGGACCTGCGGTCATGGGAGGAACTGCAACTTCTTATTTTTAACAGAAAATAATGTGTGTATGTTTATATACATACATAATAATTTATATGCAGTACTACAGCAACATCTGTCACGAGGGAGAAATCATTTATTTATTTTATTTATTTCATGTGTGAACTGAAACGGAAATTTCCAGCTTTAACAAGGGGTAAATGAACAAAAGTAAACGTTATGATGATGTAAAATAATATGTCACTCTAATGAGATAAACTGGATGAAGTCAAAGGTGAAACTTGAGAAAGTTAAATCACCTAAATCCAAATTGTGCTGAAGTTTTTTTGCCTCGAAATTTCCACTTTTTCGTTCTTTTGTTTTTAGAGCGAGCTCACGTGTCCAGGATGTGATGTAACGTGACGGATCAATTTGTTTGGTATTGATCCTATTGACATATGTATTAAATATGCTGTACTCCTCTGAGCTTTTTCTCCTGTTCAGCTGTTTCATGTTTTGTGTGTTTTATTGTTATTGTAACGGATGATTTAACTTTTTCAATCCACCCTGTGTGTCCTGGTCTGTACTGGACTCATTCCGCCTGGACAAAACTCCTGATTGTAGTATTTCATGATCTTCATCACTGCAGCAGCTGAGACACAGAACTGGTTCAGACTTTTACTACGTCAGGCCTCAGGTTCATTCTTTGTGACAAAAATAAATAATATAGATAAAATAGATTTCAAGAAAAGAAGAGAAAATCCAGGGGCTTCAGATGTCACAGTGTTTATCTGTGTGGTCCATGCTAAGTAAATAAATGATTCAATTCTATTGCGCTGTGCTCCCTGTGTTTCCAGGCTACAGGGGAGAGCTGTGATTGGCTGATGGGGTCTGGAAGTTATTTGCAGGTTGCAGTGAATCTGTTGGTATTTCCTGGATTCACGGCGCAGACACACAGAGGAGCTGCAGGGATGTTGGTGTTGGAGGGAGAATGGTGTTTAAAGCTGTTCAGTTCACTTACTATCATCAGTCACAAAAAGTTCAATCCTGAGACCAGAGACCTGGTTGGACCTGGTCTGGTCTTTATGTCGTTCTTATGTCCTTCAGCCGGGGAGACACTGGAGCTTCCTTTGTGAAAGGAAAGGAGAAATGCTGTCCCACAATTCCTTGTGGCAGCAACATTTAACTGTTTTATGTTCCATGATCCAGAACTGATGGAAATCCTTGTCTGACTGTCTGAGCTCCAAATCCACAGATTTCGATTTCTTCTCTTTGAACTCAGCGAGGAGTCGTGATGAAGAAGGAGAGAATCAGTCATCATCAGAACTTAATACAATATACATGATTAAGATTCTATTCTATTCTATTCTATTTTATTGTCTTGCCATGACATGAATTAAGAGAGAGAGGGAGCGAGAGAGAGAGAGAGGGAGAGAGGGAGAGAGAGGGGGAGAGAGAGAGAGAGAGGGGGAGAGAGAGAGAGAGAGGGGGAGAGAGAGAGAGAGAGGGGGAGAGAGAGAGAGAGAGGGGGAGAGAGAGAGAGAGAGGGGGAGAGAGAGAGAGAGAGGGGGAGAGAGAGAGAGAGAGGGGGAGAGAGAGAGAGAGAGGGGGAGAGAGAGAGAGAGAGGGGGAGAGAGAGAGAGAGAGGGGGAGAGAGAGAGAGAGAGGGGGAGAGAGAGAGAGAGAGGGGGAGAGAGAGAGAGAGAGGGGGAGAGAGAGAGAGAGAGGGGGAGAGAGAGAGAGAGAGGGGGAGAGAGAGAGAGAGAGGGGGAGAGAGAGAGAGAGAGGGGGAGAGAGAGAGAGAGAGGGGGAGAGAGAGAGAGAGAGGGGGAGAGAGAGAGAGAGAGGGGGAGAGAGAGAGAGAGAGGGGGAGAGAGAGAGAGAGAGGGGGAGAGAGAGGGAGAGAGAGAGAGAGAGAGGGAGACAGAGACAGAGACAGAGGGAGAGAGGGAGGGAGGGGGGAGGGGAACAGGGATCTTACAGTAGAGTGGGATTACAGATTGGAAAGTAAGATTACATGAAAACATGTTGAAATGTTCCTTTAAAGATGAATGAACACAGTGAAGACATTAACACACAGAGACATGGTGAAGAAGATTAACAGCTGCTTTATGACTGTTTTTAACCGCCTGTACAGTAAAACAGTTAACAACATGTAACACACACACACACACAATAATATAAAGAGTGTGTCTGTTATTGATTTGACCCTCTGACATCTTTTCACAATAAAATGTGTTTTTCATTCTCGATGGAAAAGTTTCTCAGAGAAGAAAAAATTAGACTGAACAAATACAACACACGTCCAAAAGTATGTGGACGCTGTGACTTCATGTTGATCACTGTGCCGCTCTGACAGCCTCCTCTCTCTGGTCTCTGTTCGAGACCGACCCACGGCCCTGTGCTGCATGTCATCCCCTCTCTCTCCCTGACCTTCCTGTCTCTCTCTCACTGTCATATCAGGACAAAGGAAAAAATGCCAAAAAAAGTCACAATTGGGCATTAAACAAGTTTCAGCAGGTTCATCACTTTTTAGTGTCCCCTGGAAACACGTCCGTTGTGTCTAAGCTGCAGTGCTTTGAGCTCTTAGGGCCACCGTACACAGCAGCTAAAGAGGCCCCAGAACTGAACCATAGGGAACAGAGTTTTATTCTCTGATGTGTAAACTGGATCTGAAGCAGATTAGGACTGTGTGAACGTCCAGTAATATACTGTGAACTTACAGCACTGAGATCTAGTTCGAACCGAAGAGACCCTGATAAAATGTTGTTAGAAAACAGAGTGAAGCCAGTCTGAGTCTTCACAGCTGAGCGGCTGGTTTCAGCTGGTTAATGAATTCACCACATGTCGCTTCAGTTTCCTCTGAATGGAAACACACACACACACACACTGAGAGGATTTCATTACTGGCTCTGCTCTCAGTGGAGCTTCAACTTCCTGTGATCTAAACCTGGTCCAGTCAGGATCGGTTTCAGGAAGTCCTGCTGTCTGAGCGGGCCGGGCTCCAACACATCATCTGTATATTCTACATCATGTGATTGAAACTGAGGGTCGGTGTGAGGTCAGAGTCTGGAGGATCCGCCTCACTTACTCTTCAATATGTTGTTAATCCCTGTGGGAGGATCTCTCCTGCAGTACATTTCGGAGTTAGACCCATACCAGGGACTGAAAACCAGGACCCCTCGGCCTCTGCTAAACATTAGCATGTTAGCATCGTCATCAAGTGTGTTTCCATCCTCCTGATTTTATGCACATTTTCAATGTTCAACTCAAAACCTCAGTGGAAACAAAGGAAATTCAAAGTCTAGAATCACCTCCTCATCCCTGTTTATCCAAAGTCATAAAAAAGGTCACAATGACCTTGACCTTTGACCTTTAGCTACCAAAGTCTAATCAGTTTGTCCTTTAATCCAGGTGAACGTTTGTGCCAAATTTGAAGAAATGCCCTCAAGGTGTTACAGAGATATTTTGTTCACAAGGACAAAAACACATTTATTGAGGTCATCGTGACCTTTGACCTTTAGCCACCAAAATCTAGAGACCTAGAATTCTTGAGACCTAGTTGTGCCAAATGTGAAGAAGTTCCATCAAGGTGTTACTGAGGTATCGTGTCCATGAGAATGAGATGTACGGCTGTGTGGAGCGATGAGGAGGAGACCGTCCTCACTGACTCTTCTTCTTCTTCTGATGAGAGGTTTTTTCTGTTCCACTTTTTGTTTTTGCTCCAAGGTACACCGACACTGGTTCTCATCAATTTCTTGTTAGCAACTGCTAAGCTAGCAGAAAACCCGTAAGAACCAGCTGTCAGGTGTGGACGGAGCCGGTGCTGTGCCGAAGGCAGGAGTGTGTTGTTGTTGTTTTGTTTTTGTTTGTGGGGTTTTGATTGTTGACTGATTTATTAGAAGTTTTGAAATGGACCATTTAAGATTTTTGGCATAATGTATCCTAAATAAAGTTGTGTGAAAGTCAAAGTCTGATTCTGATGTTGATGCTCCTCCTCCTTCTTCTTCTTCTTCTTCACACATTAACAAACTGACGTGGAGGTAGATAAAGAGATGTAGGCGCAGACAGGAAACAGCTGTTGTTTACATTTATTTATAATAATAAGAGGTTTGTGTTTCACACTGACGGAGCTGAAGGGAGACGCTCAAACCCCCCGTCACATCCTGTGTGATGTCAGAGAAAAGATTTACACTGATACATTAATACATACATAATACATTAACACATTATTAACATTTTCATAATTCATTAACATATCACTGAAAACACAACAACCTGGAACACAACCTTCTGCTTCATCAGAGGGGGATACCATGATGCGTTCACTGTCTCTGCTGAGGGGGATACCATGATGCGTTCACTGTCTCTGCTGAGGGGGATACCATGATGCGTTCACTGTCTCTGCTGAGGGGGATACCATGATGCGTTCACTGTCTCTGTTTAGGGTGATACCATGATGCGTTCACTGTCTCTGCTTAGGGTGATACCATGATGCGTTCACTGTCTCTGTTTAGGTCGATCTGATGATGCGTTCACTGTCTCTGCTGGGGGTGATTCCATGATGTGTTTACTGTCTCTGTTTAGGGTGATACCATGATGCGTTCAGTGTCTCTGTTTAGGGTGATACCATGATGCGTTCACTGTCTCTGTTTAGGGTGATACCATGATGCGTTCAATGTCTCTGCTGGGGGTGATTCCATGATGTGTTTACTGTCTCTGTTGTGATGGCAGCTGGACAGCGGGGAAACCAAAAGACGGCAGGAAGTGATGTCACATGTTGTTCAGTAGAAGTCGTGGTCATAGTCTGTGGCGTCCATCAGCTGTTTCATCTCCGCCACGCTGTTGGCCAGGTAGGACGACAGCTCCTCTGAGAGAGACAGAGAGACAGACAGGTGAGGCGTTAACTTCATCAACACAAACTGTGACAAGGTGTGATCGCCAACGACGACGAGGAGACAAAACAACAACTGTGACTGACGTGGAAACCAAAGATAAAAACCGCAGCTGTTTTTATTTGTCAGACGCTGCAGATCTCTCGTCTCCTCCCACATCATCAGAGTCAGCTGGACCTGAACCTGAACAGGTACCACACAGATCCTCCACACGTTCAACATCCATACGGCACCTCCTGAACTAAAATGAGTCCAGACGTGGACAGACGTACTCCTCTGTCTCACCTGCTCCCAGTACTCCCAGTACAGCAGAGGCCGAGACAGATCCCAGGTTGTTACGAGCGATGCAGCGATAGGTCCCAGAGTCCCCTGGCTCCGCCCCCTCAATCTGCAGCCAACTGGAGAGCTCGAATTTCAGAGGACCGCCCCGAGACTGTGAGACAGACAAGAAGTCAGACAGACTGTTTCCGTTGTTAGCAGAGCTAGGCTAACAGTTTCTCACCTGTACCTGGACAGAGATGTGGGGGTCGTCCCCGGGCAGGATGACGTCTCGCCCCTCCTTCCTCCACTCCACCAGAGCCATCGGAAACGCAAAGACCTCACAGAGGAAGACCAGACTGCTGCCCGTCCCGTTCACCTGGCTCTGAGGAGGGACCTTGATGATGGGGACTGACAGAGAGACGGACACTGAGCTCAGTCTGATGACATCACACAGAGGCCACACCTGCAGCAGGTGCAGACAGAGAAACCCCCCCACAGAGAGAACTGCTCTGCGCCAGCTGTGGCCCAGCAGGGAGAGCGGAAGGTCGGTGGTTCGATTCCCACCTCCTCCAGTCTGCAGTTAGAGGAGTCCTGAACCCCAAACTGCTCCAATGTCTCGTGTGTGTGAATGTGGCTTCCTGTGTAAAGCTGCTGTAATGATTAGCAGATTAATCAATGAGGTGATCGACAAAGAAATTGATCAGATAATTGATTCATGTGTTTTGACTTTTCTGTCTGTTCCCAGTGAGATTTATGTCCCGTGTTCAACAACTGTAGAGTGAATATCTTCACTGTTTTATAGACAAAACCCACAGAGAGTGTGTGTGTGTGTGTGTGTGTGTGTGTGTGTGTGTGTCTGCGTGTGTGTCTGCGTGTGTGTGTGTCAGACACAGAACCAGAATAAACTCAGTTCAGACTGACAGGAAACCAGATTTATTCTGAGTCACAGAGTCAGTGTGAACAGGGGCAGGGACGAGAGACATTATAATCATATGAGAGAGAGAGAGAGCGAGAGAGAGAGAGAGAGAGAGAGAGAGGTGGAGGCAGCAGCTACTTTGAGAATAAAATTACAGAGTAAACCAGACTCAGAGTGTGTGTGTGTGTGTGTGTGTGTGTGTGTGTGTGTGTGTGTGTGTGTGTGTGTGTGTGTGTGTGTGTGTTTTGAAGGTCACCCCGCTCTCAGTTTATTTCTTGTCTCCAATAAAACTGAGGAATGTGCTGAGAAAAAGGATCATGTGGCTCTAAATGATGTGTGTGATATTATCTACATAATCACACACACACACACACACACACACACACACACACACACACACACACACACACACACACACACACACACACACTAAAGTCAGAACATGCAGAGAAAACAGGTCCTGATGATGCAGAAAGTCAGAATATTTCAAAATAAAAGTTTTAATATTTTTGAAATAAAGTTGGAATATTATCATGAGGATAAAATCATAAATTTGTGGAGTAAAAAGTTGCATCATTAAATAAGTGAAGCCATATTTTTTTCATTTATGAAAACAGAGACGTGATTTGAACTCTGAAGGTTGTGACATTATAAGAATAAAACCTCAGTGAAAATCTTAGTGTCTGTTCTGTCAGTGTCTTTACCGGCTCTGTCAGTGTCTTTACCGGCTCCTTCAGTGTCTTTACCAGCTCCGTCAGTGTCTTTACCCGCTCTGTCAGTGTCTTTACCGGCTCCTTTAGTGTTTTTACCGGCTCCTTTAGTGTTTTTACCGGCTCCGTCAGTGTCTTTACCGGCTCCGTCAGTGTCTTTACCGGCTCCTTCAGTGTCTTTACCGGCTCCTTCAGTGTCTTTACCGGCTCCTTCAGTGTCTTAACCGGCTCCGTCAGTGTCTTTACCGGCTCCGTCTGTGTCTTTACCGGCTCCGTCTGTGTGTTTACCGGCTCCGTCAGTGTGTTTACCGGCTCTGTCAGTGTCTTTACCGGCTCCGTCAGTGTCTTTACCGGCTCTGTCAGTGTAATTATTCTCCTGTGACTGCTAACGTTAGCTAACCTGCTGTTACCCTTATTATGAATGCTGCTATCACTAGTTAGCTAACTGTTAGCATATCAGGGAAAACTGAGGAGCTGGAACCAGAGGACGTTTCAATGAGACCGATTATCAAAGTAGCTGCAGATTCGTTGTTTTTCGATTGATTATTTGATGAGTTGCTGCAGAAACAGTTGCTGTGGTTTAATGTTAAACTGGCAGCTGCACAGTGAGGAGGAGGTGGGGGAAGAGGAGGAGGAGGAGGAGGAGGAGGAGGTTGAGGAGGTGGAGGTGGGAGAAGAGGACGATCTGGAGGAAGAGGAGGAGGAGGAGGAGGTAGAGGAGGAGGTAGAGGAGGAGGAGGAGGTAGAGGAGGAGGAGGAGGAGGTGGGGGAAGAGGAGGAGGAGGAGGAGGTAGAGGAGGGGGAGGAGGTAGAGGAGGAGGAGGAGCAGGAGGAGGAGGAGGTAGAGGAGGGGGAGGAGGTAGAGGAGGAGGAGGAGCAGGAGGAGGAGGAGGTAGAGGAGGGGGAGGAGGTAGAGGAGGAGGAGGAGCAGGAGGAGGAGGAGGTAGAGGAGGGGGAGGAGGTAGAGGAGGAGGAGGAGCAGGAGGAGGAGGAGGTAGAGGAGGGGGAGGAGGTAGAGGAGGAGGAGGAGCAGGAGGAGGAGGAGGTAGAGGAGGGGGAGGAGGTAGAGGAGGAGGAGGAGCAGGAGGAGGAGGAGGTAGAGGAGGGGGAGGAGGTAGAGGAGGAGGAGGAGCAGGAGGAGGAGGAGGTAGAGGAGGGGGAGGAGGTAGAGGAGGAGGAGGAGCAGGAGGAGGAGGAGGTAGAGGAGGGGGAGGAGGTAGAGGAGGAGGAGGAGCAGGAGGAGGAGGAGGTAGAGGAGGGGGAGGAGGTAGAGGAGGAGGAGGAGCAGGAGGAGGAGGAGGTAGAGGAGGGGGAGGAGGTAGAGGAGGAGGAGGAGCAGGAGGAGGAGGAGGTAGAGGAGGGGGAGGAGGTAGAGGAGGAGGAGGAGCAGGAGGAGGAGGAGGTAGAGGAGGGGGAGGAGGTAGAGGAGGAGGAGGAGCAGGAGGAGGAGGAGGTAGAGGAGGGGGAGGAGGTAGAGGAGGAGGAGGAGCAGGAGGAGGAGGAGGTAGAGGAGGGGGAGGAGGTAGAGGAGGAGGAGGAGCAGGAGGAGGAGGAGGTAGAGGAGGGGGAGGAGGTAGAGGAGGAGGAGGAGCAGGAGGAGGAGGAGGTAGAGGAGGGGGAGGAGGTAGAGGAGGAGGAGGAGCAGGAGGAGGAGGAGGTAGAGGAGGGGGAGGAGGTAGAGGAGGAGGAGGAGCAGGAGGAGGAGGAGGTAGAGGAGGGGGAGGAGGTAGAGGAGGAGGAGGAGCAGGAGGAGGAGGAGGTAGAGGAGGGGGAGGAGGTAGAGGAGGAGGAGGAGCAGGAGGAGGAGGAGGTAGAGGAGGGGGAGGAGGTAGAGGAGGAGGAGGAGCAGGAGGAGGAGGAGGTAGAGGAGGGGGAGGAGGTAGAGGAGGAGGAGGAGCAGGAGGAGGAGGAGGTAGAGGAGGGGGAGGAGGTAGAGGAGGAGGAGGAGCAGGAGGAGGAGGAGGTAGAGGAGGGGGAGGAGGTAGAGGAGGAGGAGGAGCAGGAGGAGGAGGAGGTAGAGGAGGGGGAGGAGGTAGAGGAGGAGGAGGAGCAGGAGGAGGAGGAGGTAGAGGAGGGGGAGGAGGTAGAGGAGGAGGAGGAGCAGGAGGAGGAGGAGGTAGAGGAGGGGGAGGAGGTAGAGGAGGAGGAGGAGCAGGAGGAGGAGGAGGTAGAGGAGGGGGAGGAGGTAGAGGAGGAGGAGGAGCAGGAGGAGGAGGAGGTAGAGGAGGGGGAGGAGGTAGAGGAGGAGGAGGAGCAGGAGGAGGAGGAGGTAGAGGAGGGGGAGGAGGTAGAGGAGGAGGAGGAGCAGGAGGAGGAGGAGGTAGAGGAGGGGGAGGAGGTAGAGGAGGAGGAGGAGCAGGAGGAGGAGGAGGTAGAGGAGGGGGAGGAGGTAGAGGAGGAGGAGGAGCAGGAGGAGGAGGAGGTAGAGGAGGGGGAGGAGGTAGAGGAGGAGGAGGAGCAGGAGGAGGAGGAGGTAGAGGAGGGGGAGGAGGTAGAGGAGGAGGAGGAGCAGGAGGAGGAGGAGGTAGAGGAGGGGGAGGAGGTAGAGGAGGAGGAGGAGCAGGAGGAGGAGGAGGTAGAGGAGGGGGAGGAGGTAGAGGAGGAGGAGGAGCAGGAGGAGGAGGAGGTAGAGGAGGGGGAGGAGGTAGAGGAGGAGGAGGAGCAGGAGGAGGAGGAGGTAGAGGAGGGGGAGGAGGTAGAGGAGGAGGAGGAGCAGGAGGAGGAGGAGGTAGAGGAGGGGGAGGAGGTAGAGGAGGAGGAGGAGCAGGAGGAGGAGGAGGTAGAGGAGGGGGAGGAGGTAGAGGAGGAGGAGGAGCAGGAGGAGGAGGAGGTAGAGGAGGGGGAGGAGGTAGAGGAGGAGGAGGAGCAGGAGGAGGAGGAGGTAGAGGAGGGGGAGGAGGTAGAGGAGGAGGAGGAGCAGGAGGAGGAGGAGGTAGAGGAGGGGGAGGAGGTAGAGGAGGAGGAGGAGCAGGAGGAGGAGGAGGTAGAGGAGGGGGAGGAGGTAGAGGAGGAGGAGGAGCAGGAGGAGGAGGAGGTAGAGGAGGGGGAGGAGGTAGAGGAGGAGGAGGAGCAGGAGGAGGAGGAGGTAGAGGAGGGGGAGGAGGTAGAGGAGGAGGAGGAGCAGGAGGAGGAGGAGGTAGAGGAGGGGGAGGAGGTAGAGGAGGAGGAGGAGCAGGAGGAGGAGGAGGTAGAGGAGGGGGAGGAGGTAGAGGAGGAGGAGGAGCAGGAGGAGGAGGAGGTAGAGGAGGGGGAGGAGGTAGAGGAGGAGGAGGAGCAGGAGGAGGAGGAGGTAGAGGAGGGGGAGGAGGTAGAGGAGGAGGAGGAGCAGGAGGAGGAGGAGGTAGAGGAGGGGGAGGAGGTAGAGGAGGAGGAGGAGCAGGAGGAGGAGGAGGTAGAGGAGGGGGAGGAGGTAGAGGAGGAGGAGGAGCAGGAGGAGGAGGAGGTAGAGGAGGGGGAGGAGGTAGAGGAGGAGGAGGAGCAGGAGGAGGAGGAGGTAGAGGAGGGGGAGGAGGTAGAGGAGGAGGAGGAGCAGGAGGAGGAGGAGGTAGAGGAGGGGGAGGAGGTAGAGGAGGAGGAGGAGCAGGAGGAGGAGGAGGTAGAGGAGGGGGAGGAGGTAGAGGAGGAGGAGGAGCAGGAGGAGGAGGAGGTAGAGGAGGGGGAGGAGGTAGAGGAGGAGGAGGAGCAGGAGGAGGAGGAGGTAGAGGAGGGGGAGGAGGTAGAGGAGGAGGAGGAGCAGGAGGAGGAGGAGGTAGAGGAGGGGGAGGAGGTAGAGGAGGAGGAGGAGCAGGAGGAGGAGGAGGTAGAGGAGGGGGAGGAGGTAGAGGAGGAGGAGGAGCAGGAGGAGGAGGAGGTGGAGGAGGAGGAGGAGGATCTGGAGGAGGAGGAGGAGGTGGGGAGGTGTCAGCTGTTGGACTGTAACAGTGTTGTAGTGTTCCTGTGCAGACACTGGCTGTTTGTTGGAACAGAGCACAGAGACGGGTGGGTGGAGCTCCTGGTCTGAACAGGGGGGTCACAGTCAGACCTGATCACCTTCATCAGTCTCACTGAGTCCACGTCTATAAACTGTCTGAGGATCAGGTTTCTCCTCACAGCTGGAGGTAAAGCTCTGAGGGTTTACTCAGCTCTCAGGGTCGGAGTCAGCTGGCTCTGTGTATTCACTGTCCCAGGCTCCCTGAACTACACACCACCTGGTTTCTCTGAGACACATGATTGATCCCATGTCTGATCAGAGGAGGAATAACCGATCACAGACACAGATCGTCGACATCTGCCGCCATATTGTTGATTCTTTAAAAACCCTGCAGTTTATTCAGAGGGTTGTTTTTCTGCAGGATTATTAAAGGACATTTTGTGTGTTTCTTATCTGACCTTCCACAACAAAGAATACTGCATCAAAATCAGTGGCTTCATGTAAACAAACTGGCATTTAAAGGGTTAAAATTCTGAAAACAATTTCATTTTTGGTCGTTATGATCAGGACTGATAATAAAAAAGATTTATTCAACAAAAGTGGAAAATAAAATGAATATATGATGTTTTTATTGCAGTTTTCTGATGCAGACATTAGCGTAGCATGAAGGCGTCATCCTAACCACAGCAACTTAAAAAGACTGAAGTGATGAACTTGCTCTTGTTCTTCAATGTTTTTAACTTCAAAAGTCACAATTGGGTTTTGAACAACAAGTCCCAGCCTGGTGCATCACTTTCTACTGTCCCCTGGAAACACTTCCCGTTGTGTTGTGATTTTTTGTCAAACCGAAGATACGTTTTCTTAAACTGCAGTGTGGGGATCGACCGATTATCATCCTTATCATACACCAAATCACCTGAACGCCATCCCTTAACTTTCCCCTTAAGTTAAAGGACTTTCAGTAATTAGGAATTAAAATGTTATTTGGTCACATCGAAGTGTTTGAACTCCTTAAAGTATCTCAGAGCCGAGGCCTGAATTTTAGTTACTATCACTCCAAAATATTTTCACCTGATTTCTGCAAAAAATGAAAGTGACACAGTGAACCAGGTTGTAAAAATCTACACAGGTACGCAGAGGACCGATCGGCCGATGATTGGTGGTAATATTCAGCATATTCGGATTATCGGTTTTGCTGTTACGGATTAGGGTTAGTGTTACATTTTAAAAGGGGAGGGGTCAAACATCTTATTTGATAATAACATATTATACATTATATAATAATAATACGTGATAAAACTATTAAATTAAAGAACATCTTCATGTCACCAGCTGAATCAGTTCACAGGTGAGAACAAAGAAATCAACCAGTTCAGGCTCTTTACAGTCTGATTACAGCTGATAATCACTGATATTGACTCAGTGATCGGTTTATTAGGAACATTAAACTGATGCAGTCTGATACAGTCCTGCAGTAAATCCTCCTTCATGAAGGTTTTAATCTTCAGTTTGTTAAAACAGTTTCAGACAGATGTTGATGATCACTGTGGAGCGTTTACATTATACAGCTGTTTCTGTTATTTACCTACACTGATATAAATGGAGCAAATAATAGAAACACCTGGACGCCACGGTGACTGTCCTTGTACAGCTGTAGTTCTGTGTTGGTATATCTTCCAAATATCAGTTATTGATCTGCTTGATTAACGATAATCGGTAACGATCCTCAAAAAAGCACATCGGTCGATCCCTATTGCAGTGTGTTGAGCTCTCCGGGCCACCGTACACGAGGACGTAGATCTCGATGCCTTTTTGCTCCATCTATCACAGGAGGGTTTTTCTTAGTGCCATGTGCTGGTGTTTCCTGCTGACGAAGCCGGTCTGAACCGAGGCACAGAGGACGGACAGAGCAGTGAATGTGTGCTCAGAGAGGAGAAGCATTTCCTTGGCAGCAGCAGAGAATGTGAATGTTTGTCGCAGCTGGAGGGAAAAACCAACAGAGAAACACATGAAACTGGTTCTTCACCGTAAATCTGACATCTGCATTCTGTTTGTCTCTGTTTCAGTCGAGGCTGAGAAATGTTCCCAGAGCTCAGTGTGACGCCCTCGATCCAGAGAGAGAGAGAGTCCAGGGACGAGGTTCTGCTTTAATCACTTATCAGGATGGTTATCAGTTCACTGGGCTGCCCAGGTCCGGTCCTCTGTGTGCACGTAAAGGTTTTTACAACCTGGTTCACTGGGTCACTTTCATTTCTGAGGAGATCAGGTGAAAATGTTTTGCAGTGATGATAATTTAAATCAGACCTCGGCTCTGAGATATTTTCATGAGTTCAAACTCTTCAAAGGGACCAAATAACATTTTCATTCCTAATTAGGAAAAGTCCTTTAACTTGAGGTGAAAGTTAAGGGATGGAGTTCAGGTTATTTGGTGTATTATAAGGTTTTTTTTTAATCTTTTAAACACCTTCATCTGTGAAGAACAAGCTTTAAAAATGAGTCCAAATCAGGTGCGAATGTATAAAATACCTGAAATGATGAAGTACAATCAGCACGAGCCTACAGGTGAGTCACTCTAACCGGAAATGAATCTCATGACCTCAGGGTCTCTGAACTACAGACAGACAGGTGTGCAGTCAGGTGTGTCCTACCTGTCTTGCAGGGCCCCCTCCCTCTGGTCTTGAGCTCTGGTCTGGAGAAAGCGGCCTCTCTGAACTGGCACATGTTCACGTATGTTGTTCCATCACTGCCACACACCGCCTCCTGCTCCTCACACACACACACCTCCTCCTCTTCATCCTCCCCTCCCCCTCCTCCTCCTCCTGCGGGCCGCGGGTCCGCCTGACACCGCAGCCCGGTCCCGCAGAGCCCGTAGAAGACGCTGCGCTGTCCCGGGTCGCAGGCTTGGCCCTCCAGGTTTCCGCACTCCTTACAGCAGCCGCAGGAGTCCAGCACCAGACCCGCCCGGCAGCCGCGGGTCTCCGGGCACAGGTCCAGCTCACACGGTCCGCAGCCCTCCGCCCCGCCGGTCCCGTTCCAGTTCCGCCCCCTGCCGCCTCCCAGCTCCTCGTCCAGCCGGTCGTAGTCCAGCAGCGGGTCGGTGAGGGAGGGCAGGCCGTGCGGCTCGGTGCTGAGGTCGGGCAGCTGGTTGGGGAAGGACCGGGTTGTGTGGAGGTTCAGACAGAGACACAAGAGGACTAGTCCCCTCATCCCCGGCATTTTAACCCGGTCTGCGGGCTCAGTCCTGCTCCGGGTGATGCCCGGTCTGTCTGGTCCTCTGTCCGGTTCAACGAGAGGGAAGAACCGAGGAGAGCCGTAAATCTGCCGGTCCGTCAGCGAGATCCAGACTTCATTCCTCTCCGACCAAAACACGGGAGACACGAAGAAACCCGAGAAAACCCGAGAAAAGATGATGAAAAGTTAAAGAAAAACCTCCGTGTGTGAGTTCCGGTCCACGACCCAGCGGAGAAAACCGTTTCTAGTTTCAAACCCGGACCGGGACTCGGACTGACTGAGGTTTAAACAGCTGAGCCGCTCGCGCTGCTTCACCGCACACAGACAGGCACGAGACAACCCATCCAAAATAAAACACGAAACATCCGGTCAGACCCTTCAAAGTAAAATCCCTGTCAAGACAGCTTTGAAACAAACCGGGATTCACGTTAGCTGTAATTATTTCCACGGTCATTACTCACAGTGGGTCAGTTAAAGAAAAGCATGTTATCGCTCCCCAAGCTAACAGGCTTGCTAACAGTCAGTGTCAGTGTTTAAACTGTATCTGAGCTTCAATAAAACCGGTCACACAAAGCTAATGCTACGGTAGCGTCCCCCATTTTGGACTGTGACTCCCAGTTAGCTAAATGTCAACTCTGTGTGGACAGTTTGTGATATTAGCTAGCTAGCTAGCTAGCTAGCTAGCTAATATCACAAAGGATTACCTTGCCTGAATGATTGCCCCACAAACTAATCCATAACACAGCAACTCTGTATTAACTGAAGTTAAAGGAACAAAATGGTTCCAGGCCTTTATAATCACAGAGTTTCAACAAATCAAAGCTGGGTCAACCAGGCAAAGCAGGCAACTGTCCAGGGGCCACAGACCCCCGGGAGCCCCAAAAGTCCCAGGTTCTTCCCAAATCATTTGGGTTTACTTTTGATTCATTTCACTGACGTACAACAATGAGCTATGACTCATCCTCCACCCTCCATCTCCTGTCTCTTCTTTTACTGTCAAATCCAGTTGTAAAACCTGGACTGTTTCAATCTGTATTAAAACAGCCATTTGTTGTGAAGTTGTGTTTCATCACAGGAGAACTGAAAGGCTGCAACCAGCCATTTATTATCAAATGTTAAATATGTGATAAACTGGTGAAAAACAACATATTAACAGCTAAAACCCCAAAGATATTGAGGTTAGCATAATAAAAAAAAACTAGTAAAACCAGTAAATCTTCACATTTGAGAAGCTGTTACCAGTGAATTTTGGGCATATCTGCTTAAAAAATATTTAATTGGAGCAGATTAATTTTCAATCAGTTGTCTAATAATCAACTAATAATATCAGGTCTAGATTACTGTTTGCTTCCTGGGTGTTTCAGAAAACTGTCTTGTGTAATCAGTGGAGGCTCAACAACAGATTTTGGCCCCAGGGCCCCTCAGGAGGTTTATCCAGCCCTGTTGACAACAGTGTGTGGAGGTTTAGGCCTGTCAGACAGAAAATATTAAAAGGCTTTTTCAATACAATTATTAGCAACCATTTAGTTTCAGTTTTATTTTGAGGGGTGAAATCTGATGAAAAACTGTTAATATAGAGAACACATTTACTTTTAATATTCAGCTTTTATTTTTAAGGCACGTTGTTCTCATTTCCGGTCTTGTTGTGTCTCACCTGACAGTTTTTTGCGGTGTGTTCCAAGCACTCCTGCTCCCTTCCCCCCAACCATACCTGACAGCTGTTACACTCATCATCAGGCGGAAAGGGGTTTTAAGGTCTGGAAAGGTCCCGAGGGTCCTCCAGGTGGTGTCAGGGCTCCTGCACGGACTCCACAAATCTCAAGGGTCTCAGGGTTCCCCCAAAGAATCTAGATCACTTCAAGGAGGTACCATTGGTTCTGTAGGGGGTTCTAAAGGGTCTTCAAGGGTCTTAAAAATATTTCAAAGGAGATTTCCTTGAAAAGGTTTCAGTTGTGCTTCAATGAGCTCTGTAGATTTTAGATTGAGTTCTAAGAGTGACGGGGGTCCTCGTGGAACCTCCACGTATCCTCAAAGATGTTCACAAGGGGTTCTTGGTGCGATCCAGGCTTCCAAGGCTCCTTAAGAGGTTTAACAGTGTCTTCAGAAGGTTTCAAGGCTCCTACAGAGAATCTTCAGAGTTTTCAAGTTAGGTCCCGATGAAGGGTCTTGAGTTTTTTATTAGAGACTTTGAGGTTCTTTAAATTGGTTCCTATGGTGATTGAATGAGCTCCTCATTTCTTTCTTTTTCAGATGGCCTTGACATGTTGGGCCTCTGCAGAGGGATTCCAGGTCTTTGTGGAGGCTCCAGGCCTCCTAGAAGAGGGTTCTTGGTGGGATCTGGGTCTTAGTTCTTTTACGGCAACAAACTCTGAACTAAACGGGTTTACATCTTTCTTCTGGAAATGAAAACTGTGGAGTTAGTGTCCATATGTGAGGTTTTAAAGTGACGCACCTACCTCAGGGCCCCTGCTGGTCTGCCTGTGTAGCCCCAGTCCAGGGCCCCTGCTGTTGAGCCTTGGTAACCCTGTGCTGCAGGTTTGGGAGGCCATGTTTATAACGATGAAAACAGTGAAAATGTCCTGATTTCTGGGCCTAATGAACTCTATAAAGTGACTCCTTCACTTTCTCTCAGACTCTGAACTCTAAACAGTTTGTTTGTGTGTAATCCTGCTGGTTTGTCACTTTTAGAGCTTCACCACTCCAAAGTAAAAGTCTGAATTAAACCAGTCGTCTGTCAGACAGAAATAGAGCTGTAATGGAGGGTTTGCGGCTGCTGATGTACTTCAGTCTGCGCTCTGTACTTTTCCCTGATGGATCTAACAACATGTCTGCTGTTAACACAGTTACTGTTGTTGAGTTTTTCTGTACTTCTTGTGTTTGGACAAGTCTGAACAGGTGAACCTGGTCTTTACCTGTGCAGGTTAACAGCAGCTCTGAGTCCATGTGAACATACATTAGAGTCCACAGAGGATCTGAAACATGTACTTAATGTCAGCTGTTCTGTACTTACAGACTTCGAGTGTACTATTCGACTTTAGCTCAGCACTGTGTGAATGTGAGCAGCCTGTACGTCTGCAGAGTCTAATTCAAACACAGATAAAGAAACTGAGTCTGCGTGTTTATTAATGTGTGGGATAATAACTCATTCATAAAATCTACTAAAACGTATTTGATGCAATGTTTCCAGCAAAGATCAGACCTGTATAATTGGAGCTAATAACAGGTGAAACAGAGTCAGTGCTCAGTTGCAATTACAGTCCTTCCACTTAATTACCAGTGTAAGCCAGAGGTCAGAGGTCAGCTGAACATTCATTTTACTGTGTATGTCTGGATAGAAGCTATAAATACATATTATTTATATATTTATTTTACTATGCCATATAATTAAATCACACCATCGTATTTCTTAATAAAGTTTACAATTAGATTAATTTACTTTAAGTTGAGTGTGTTTAGTTCTCATCAGTAAACTTCTTTGAAATTATTATAAAAAGTCAGATTAGATCAAATAAAGTGTTGACATTTAGCTAAATCTTTGTGTTTTATTTTGAAAAACAGAATCAAAGTCACATGTTAAACTCCCAGATGTTGAAGAAGATGAACAAACCAACACTGACCTCATGTGACATCATCACTGCTGGTGCACCTGTACAGGTGTGTCTGTGGGGTTATGTTAGCCCTCAGCAGTCGACTGCAGGCACAGGTGAAGCCTGCTGTCTTTAAGGTCAAAGTCACATGAGTGAAAGTTCTGAGAGTCACGAAGAGTTTCCTCATCAACTGAAACTTTGTTTAGTTTGTGAATGTTCACGTTTTCAGATTCTTTCTGAGGATCTTTGTAGTTGTAGTTTGTCGTCAGCTGACAGTTGAAACGTGACATCTGTGTATTTGTATGAAAAGTTTCACACTTATAAAAAATGTTTTCTGTTTTTGTACTTAGTCTGAATTAAACCTCAGTTTGAACCTGAACTAAACTTTGATTCTGGAAGAACGAAACAAAACGTCAGCAGATGGGCAAAACATTACACTTTTATTTTGGTAAACTTTATTTTGGCAATTTTCAAAACTTTATATTTCAAATTAAAAAACGTCACTCCACAAATGTATAGATATGAAACTGTGTGTAGGGACTGACAGATGTGACTGTTTACCAGGCAGGGAGGCTCTAATGAAAGACACTATGCAGGTGCATTATGGGAAATGTAGGATGTTCCTGTTTTAATCTGTGACTCACAGCAACAAATACTTCAGGATTTCCACCAGTTTTCGAATTAAAATCTCCCAGAAAGTGGAAATAAAGACAAACATGAGAAACATTCAGGTGATGATGCTTTCTACTGAATATTCTAAAATCTGAACTACCTCAACCTGTATCTGTGTTGTTCAGACCAGGTTCAGGTGGTCCGGATGTGAACGGCGCCGTCACCGCCGACTCCACGTGGTCACAACCTCAGCTTCCCCCTTCTCCGCCTCCTCCTCTGGCGGGGAGCAGATGTGGGAGACGAACAGACAGTGGTAGTTCCACAGCAGCAGCAGCAGCATCAGCAGCAGACTGCAGAGGAGCAGGACCACCAGCAGGAGGAGACGACGAGACGCCCGGGGAGAGGGGGGGGCACTGCAGCTGACAGGGAGAGGAAGAGGAGGGGGAGGAGGAGGAGGAGAGGAGCAGCGATGGAGCCACCAACAGAAATGTTTGAGTCCAGATGTTTTGAGTTCAGATCTGCTCTGAGATGAAGACATGGTCCTGGAGAAACTGAGTCTCTAAGTAGGAGGTCCTTGAGGTCCTGGAGGTTCTGAAGGTCCTGGAGGTCCTGGAGGTTCTGGAGGTTCTGAAGGTTCTGAAGGTCCTGGAGGTTCTGAAGGTCCTTGAAGTCCAGGAGGTGTGTGGTGTGTCAGGTGACCCTCAGCTGGTCTCTGGAGAGTAAAAACAGAGTGATGCTGAAAGTCTGAAGCCCGACTTTAAATCACATCTTGTTTTCAGTCATTCGTCACTTTATTTTATTTTATCTGTTATTTTTATTTTCTTCTGTTTGTGGTTTGCTAATGTTATTCCAGCGTTTTCAATGTATCTCACTGTGTCTCATTCTCAGCTTTCTTATTTGATTTGTTTGTTTTATGGGTCTGTGACCTTTGACCTGAACTCACCTGTATGAAGAGTGCAATACAAATAAAGTTTGACTGCTGGATTGTTGATGCGTCATTAACTGTCCATATAAAGAATCACTGACTCTGTTTCCGGTCCTCGGCTCGGTCTGGTTCTGGTCTGGTTCTATTCTGGTCCTGGTCTGGTTCTGGTTTGGTTCT